TACAATTCTATTTGTGGAAACTGTTAACAGGTGGACAGCTGGATGCCAGTCGCTCATAAAAATACCTGGAAAGAATAAAAACCAAAGTATTAACAGTGACTATTTCTGAAGGGCAGGATTATAGGAGATTTTCCTTTTATACAATTTATGTAATGTACGAATATTATAATGAATTTGTGTTATTTTTGCAACAATAACAAAGAAAAGTATGTTAAAAAGAAAATTCACCCTGAATTCTGCACAAGGTGATTTTTCCTAAAACATCCCTTTCAGCCTGTCATTCCCCCCATGCAGGGACCACCCCCAACACTGACTCCCTACTGCTAGCCTCCTCGAATCTGACCCTCCTCCAGGTGGCATGCAAGGTGCCCCCAGCGTGGAGCCCACCTCTCTTGCCAACTATGTCCCTCCCTCCTCCCTGCGCTCATCTCCAAGTCACACCCATCTCAACCCCAACCTCCACCACTGCAAACCCTCAAAGAACCCCTTCCTTTGCTTCCCCAAATCTCACCCCTCCCTCGAGGCCCAGCCCGATTTCCCCTGGGTTCCTCGACGGGTCCCCAAGAAAGTTCCACCCAGCCCTGCCCTGGACAGGATGGCGTACTGTATTATCCTCCCTGCACTGCAGGTACCTGCAGGTACTGCCGGTACCTCGAGGGGGACCTTCACAGACACAGGCGGGCTGACTACCACCAGCTCCAACTGCTCTGGCTAACAGTGGGAGAGGGGAAGAGCCCAGACAGGCAGTTCCAACCCACGTCCCTCTCTGTGCCCACAGCCTGGATGGCGGGTGATGCCTTGGCCTGGAGCTTCCTCCCCACCCGCCCATCTCCAGCAGCAAGTGGGAGCCAATTTGCAACAGCTGCTAATTCAGAGTGACTCATGCCTTCGGGGCTGCTCTAGGGGCTCTCCCTCCCCACCTTCCAGGTCCCACAAGCTGCATTCACATCCAAACTCTGGCTTCAAACCTAATTGCCTTCCTGGGGGGCCCAACAGCACTTCCTCCCTCAGGTGGCTGCAATGTGCACGTCCAGTTTTTCAAACAAAGCTGTTTAGAATCTCTCAGGATTAAGACAAGTGGAAAATTGCAAGCCCAGACCTCTACCTCACTTTCTCTAAAACACAACATGTCATTCTACGTGTTCACACACCCCCATTCAAATGCAGCCAGTCACCCTGCCCCTCTGAGCCCTTCTATAGGGCTCCGCCCAAGTGGGGGCTGGGGACTTGCTCCGGCAGGATCCGCTCCCTCTGTCCCAGGCACCACCACCCCCAGGGCTTGTCGGAGAGTAGCAGGCCCCTCAGCCTCAGTTTCCCCACTGTGGCAGGTGGCCAGGTGAGAGGGCTGAGCAGGACTATCAGGCGTTGTATTCAAGTCTTACACTGCCCTCTAAGGAGGAGGCATTCACGTCGCAGGTATATAGTGATGGACTGAAAGGGCGCAGATGGGCCTCTCACCTGGGTCCCAGAACAATGCAAGAGAACTCCTTCCCAAACCCAGGCAGGCACACCCAGCCACACACACTGGGGCAAACACACACAGACTAACCCCCCCACACACACACACACACAGACACACGTGCCTGGCCACACCTTGTTCCAGCCTTGCTCTGAGTACCCTCCCGGAGTTCACGTCCCTCCGCCTCGCCCACTGTTCTCAGAGGCCCGTCCCCAGCCACAGCCCCTCGCCCTGACTCAGAGCTGGACCCGCGGCCCTCCCTGGGAGTGGGCGGAGCACAGCGGGCCTGTGCCACGGGCAACGTGTACCCCTGTGGGGTGGCAGGTAGTGGGCACCGCTGTGCAGACAGCCTGGGCCACTCCAGGACACTTCCCAGGCACAGCTGGGCCTTGGTCGAGTCTTACAATCATTTATTCGTTTTAATTTTTCTTTTTAACCCGAGAAAGGGCAGTTTTTCCAATGTGCACAAAGGTGCTGTAAGGGTTAGCAGTGGCCTACGCTGCTAAGGCCAAGACCAAGAACTCACCAAGATCCTGTGCCAGGGTTGCAGGACCCTCAGCCTTCCTGCAGGGAGGCTCAAGCCTCCCGCAAAAGCGGGGGGATCCCCAGGGGGTCTACTGAGCTGACTCTCCAGACCCTCCGGACAGTCGTCCACCCGCATCCTTTTCTTCCCCAACCCCATCACAACGTCAGATATTTGAACGAACACTGACCGCTGAACATAAAAATGATCACAAGACTCTCAAAAAGCAAGTGAGTATTCAAAGCACAATTAATTTCCAGCCACGGTATGGGGAGTGGGAAGGAAGACGGAGGGGAGAAGGGGTGCGGTAAACTCAAAAGCACAGATAGTATTAAACAATGAATAGTCAAAAAATAATGCACCTTCACTCCTGAGTATGAGCTAAAGCATGCATGCGGTGACACTCCAAGCTGGCGGAGGTGCTCCTTCTGGCTCCTTCTGGCTCCGTCCCGTTCACAAGGGCCTCAGCCCAACTCAGGCTGAGTTTTTGGTTCAGGAGAAGGGAAAGGGTTTGGACGCTGGACTACACCCAGGCAGGAACTCTAGTTTCATGATGCTGTGGTTATACTTGAAGCTGAAATTATTAACTCATCAGGCTGGAGTGCAGCAATGGAACTTTCTAGCTCCTAAATGCAGCAGGCAGGGGCAGGAGGCAGTTAAAATAAAAGTAGCACCAGTGGAGCGCCTGGGCGGCTTAGTGGTTAAGCATCTGCCTTCAGCTCAGGTCATGATCCCGGGGTCCTGGGATCGAGCCCCGCATCCGGCTCCCTGCTCAGCGGGAAGCCTGCTTCTCCCTCCCCCACTCCCCCTGCTTGTGTTCCTCTCTCACTGTGTCTTTCTGTCAAATAAATAACATCAGCACAGGACGAAGTCAGGCCGCAAGAGCCTGCCACCAACCAGACAGGCGACCATCTCTGTAAACAACCTCCGCCCCCAGTCCGACTTCCCTCAGAAATCAGGGCCTCCGGTTTAATCATTAACTTCACTCTTCCCTCCTCCATCCACCTCTAGGCCAGAGGCAGGGAGGGCACTTGAGAGGAGGAGGTATTTGGGAAGCCCAGGGGATGGAAGCCAAAAACCCCCTCTTCTCACTCAGAAACCACCTTTGTCAGAGCTAAAGGAACCTCAACAACTGGCTGTCCAGACCCCCACTTTGCAGGTGAGGAAACCAGCCTGAGCCACAAAGCCCGTTAGAGGCAGAGGCAGGAGCTGCATGAGAGCCCGCATCCCAGGAGCTGGTCAACATCCTGGAGGCTCAACAGCAGGACAAGAAATGGCAACACCAAAGCCCTGGGAGGCCAAACCCATAGGAGAGGATAAGCTTCCGGCCCGGGGGGTCCCTCCCTCGGGTCTCCCTCCCAGATGTACAGAAGGAGGCCGGTCTTCTGGCCAGAAGTGACTCGTGACAGCAGGGCCTGTCTGTCTCTCCAAGGCTTTGCGGGCCTCCCGGGAAGCTCGCCCCCAGGTTCTGCCCTGGCGGGACCTCCCCAGGAGCAAGCCCCCCAGAGTCTCCATGAAAGGCCAGGAGGTGCTGAGCGGCAAGGAGCGACACAGAGTCCTCGAGCCTTTCCCTCCCTGCGGCCTGCTCTCCACCAGACCCTTTCCTTCAGCTCAGGCCTGGCTGCCCCGAGCCGTCCATCCACAGGCGGTGCTCCAAATCCCAGAGCAGCGACAATGAAAGCAGACACCCCACCCGGGCCCCAGGGAGGAGGGGGGAAGACTTAAAATGGGAGCTCCCACATTCCTGCCGCAGCAGGCCAAAGGACAGACCTGGAGGCGAGTCTCAGGAGCCACGAGAAGGGGCAGCAGGTCTGCAGTGGGAAGGGCAGGCGCTGCGGTAGTCAGGCAGCTGGGGTTGGAATCCCTGCCCCACCTCCCACTACCGATGTGTCTCCGGCAAGTCCCTGACCCGCTCTCAGCCCCAGCTGCAGCCCCTGTGACATGGGGGCAAATGAGCACTACCTCGCAGGACTCTGGGGAAAAGTCAGTGAGATTTAAAGTAAGATTTGATACGACTTCAAGTAAATTCGTTGGGGACACAGAGTCTGAAACCGAGGCTCCTGATGAGGATGACAAATGTGAGCACTGGCATCCTAAGTATGATGTGCAAAGTACGGCAGGACAAGAAGAGGTCCGAGGCCACTCCTGGGACACCATATCCTCTCTGCTGGAACTCACGGAGAAAGGAATCTTTTGGCAAGTTGAGCTATCAGCCAGCACCATCCTTCCAACTGCCACCCCCTTCCCCACCCCGACACTGCTGAATTCTTGGAAGGTGAGAGATTTACAAATCACCCAGCAGGAGGAAGCCACAGGATAAAACACACATGAATTCAAACACAAAGAGGCCCAGGTCTGTAAGCAGCACCCCCACAGCGAACCGGAATCAGCACCATCCACCAAGGCTGCCTACCTGCCTAAGGAGCTCCTGCTAGCTCCCACTGGCGGCAGGCCTTGATGCGCCAGTGCTGGGAACAAAAGAAGCTCTCAGCAAGACCCCAGGAGCCTGTGGGAGCAGAAATCAGGATCCTGGTGAGGGTCTCGGCAGAGGGTACCCACCCGAAGGGCCATGGGCATGACTGCAGCGGCCACTACAGAGGAAAAGAGACAGGTAGGATTGGCCAGATTCCCCCAGATTCTTTTCTGGCCAGCTAGGGGGAGGGCCTCCACCCTGGCTCCCAAGCCTGCTGGGAGGGGACAGGAAGCAGGAAGTTACAGGCCTCTCCTGCTTCCCTAGGTCTCCTCCCTGTAATCAGGGTGGTCAGGAAAGAAATTGAGAGTACTATCCTAACTGTCAGAAATAGTGGGGAGGGGGTAACTGTCTCCTTAACCCCCAAAGCCCAATTGAAGGAGCTTATCAAATCAAAGTCAAGAGCTAAGACAGAGAGACATCTAGAAAATATCAGCATCCCATTCCATCCTTCCTCCCCAATCCACAGTTAAGGGCAAGAGAGACTTTAGACAGTTTATAACACACACACTTTCAGAGACCCCACCACACGATGGACCCAGACTGACCTGTTCCTTTGAATTTCCTGCAAACACCTTGGCCGCTGACAGATAAGAGAAGATCCCAGGATATTCCTGCAGGAAAATAAAAAATTAAGTCACCACTCTGCTGGGAAGCCACTCCAGGGTGAACTCTGTCCAGCAATGGCCACTCTTTGGGGAGGGAGCCTCCCACCTAGAATCTATTCAATCAACAGATGCAGAAGGCCAGAAATGGCAAACTGGTTTCAGCTGTGGTGCCAATGCCACTCAGCTAATAGTGGGTGCCTGAAGCATCAGGCGCAGAACCCAAGCCCTGGCTCAGCAGTCAAGATAGCTGTGATCGATTAGTGATGTCTGCTATGGGCAGTTACAGAGGTAACAGTATCCATGTTAAACCTATTTGCCATCCCTGGGTAGACCCTTGGCATCAAGGATTTAACATCTGTAATTCTGACCACTGACAAATGATCTGAAGTTTCAAGATCTGTAAAACGATATAACTCTACTGAGACATGACTCTGACTAACATACCCTACGTGAGGGGCTGATGTAAAGGAACAGGCCACGTTGTTCTTTCCATCTCTACCACATCCACAGTTATCCTGTGGAGCAATAACAATGTGGCAGAAAATGGCCATCAAGCGAGAGAGAAAACCGGAGCAAAGTTGGAAGGGTAGTTAACTTGGGCTATGAAGACATATACAGGAGATATTTGGCTCTCTGCAGAACGTGACTCTGGAAAAAGCCAGGCCCATGTACAAATAAATATTGCTGTGGGTGCAAATCTGGCATTGTAGAAGGTGCAAGATGTATTTCTTGAGGACATCAGAGGTCCACACTGTGCCCACTCTGTGCCACTCAGCAGTGAGCACTGGGCCAGGAAGAACACAGAGGGAGCTGTAATCCACGTCCTGAAGGGGCTTCCCATCTACTTGGAGAAAGGATGGTAAGCACTGGGAACAGTAAATGGCACGGCCCACTGACAGTCACCCAGCTCAGAATCGGCTTCAATACAATCCCCCTTCCTCCTTTCCTCATCCCCCATCCAATCAATTCACAAAGGCCCTTCACCCTGCCTCCAAAATGTCCCCAGTCTGGCTCCTCTCCTCGCCATTCCTCACAGATTCCCAGTGCTCTCCCCGCCATGATTTCCCCCTTCCCAGACCCCAGACTCTCCCTCCTTAGGCCTAGCCCTGCTTCTGTAGCCCCTATGCAAAAACTTGCGAAGTTCCTGAGCCTCCCAATGCTGACTGCTGTCTGCACAAGGTGGGCACTCAGCTTCTCGTGGATGGGTGGATGGGTGGATGGATGGATAGATGGATGGGTGGATGGGTAGGTGGATGGATAGATGGATGGGTGGATGGGTGGATGGATGGGTGGATGGGTGGGTGGATGGATGGGTGGATGGGTGGGTGGGTGGATGGATGGATGGATGGATGGATGGATGGATGGATGGATGGAATTCCTTGGCTGCGCATGTGCAGCCACCACAACAGGCCCACTGTCTACCTGTCCAGGCTTTCCTCCCTCTGCTTCCCTTCACACAACCTACTCATCAGCCCACACTCTCAGTGCCTCTCCGCAGGCTGATTCTTCCTCCCTTCTGCTGAAGTGCAAGCCACTCTTCCAAATTCACATCAAACACCCCCTGCTGCGTGAGGTGCTTCTCCAGAATTGGGGTGATCAATCCCCCTGTTTGAACCCACACAATACAGTAGGCCACTCACCTTATACCTTGAAATACCACTTTTTGAAGACCTTTCTTAACCTTTACTGCATTATACACCCCATGAAGACAAGGACCTTTACGTTTTTTCATTTTTTCATCATCAGAACTTAGCACAGACTCTTGTACTACGACACACGCATTAAGTGTTTGCGGAATTCACTAAAGAATCACCCTGGGCAGTGGATAAAAGCCAGGAGAGATGAAGACAGAAAATGCCAGAGGAGTTCCAAGGAAAAAGAGGTGCTTTGGGGATGGGTGCCCAGGGAAGGCTCCAGGAAGGAATTCAAACATGAATAGGGTCTTGAAAGTGGGGGAGGATGAGGTGGGGAAGAGCACTCCAGAAAAGTGGAACAGTGTGAACTCAGGGACAAGGAAGGAATGAGCAAAGCATGCTTGGGAGATGAGTTTGGCTGGAACCAAGGGTCCCTGGGGGAGAAGGCTGGGAGATAAGGCTAGACAGGAAGGCTGGAGATGGATAGGAAGGATGCTGAGTGCCAGGCTAAGGTACCTGGATTTGATCCATTCCCTCTCAGTCAGTGAGGATGACAATCACACCAGGCCTGGGCTTTCACGGTAGAAGAAAAGAAGTCTTGTCCTCTCTTGCTCTGAGCTTATTAGTCTAGTCTCCTCAGCTAGGTTATAAATAACAACCACTATTTATTGCACACCTGCTGTGTGTGAGGCCCAAAGCTCCAAGCTTCACATACATTGTCTCATTGCTCCTTCTAATAGCCCGGAGAGCTTGGTATTGTTATCTTCATTTTGCAAGCAGGAAGCTAAAGCTACAAGAGGTGAAGGCACTTGCCCAAGGCCTCTCCCACTCGCTCACTTAATACAGGAACTGGAGTTACAGACAAGGGGATAAGGGCCAGCTCTCTAGCCAGCCACCACAGGCCCAAGGCCTTCTTATTTAAGCTGGCCTGCTTCTCCACAACCCTCCTTATTAATTCCTCAAGGCCAACATGTATTGAGCACACAGTAAGAGCATAATAAAGCACACTAAGGAGAATGGTGGCTTGGTGGGGGGAAGAAATGGAGCGTTACTGTTTAATGGGCATACAGTTTCAGTCTTGCAGGATGCAAAAGTTCTGGAGATCTGTTGCACAACTCTACATTTAAAAATGGCTAAGATGGTAAATTTTGTTTTGTTTCATACCACAATTAAAAAAATTTTAAATAGGGTGCACTTATTACTTGACTGATTGGCTGCCACTAGCATCTTCTATCGTTAATTATCTAACACAGGAAGAAACTCTAGAAACATTTCATTCCAGTAACCCTCGAAAACACAGAGCTGAAAAGGGGAGGTAACATGCCCAGGGCTGCACAAACAGATGGTGTTAGAGCTAAGATCAGAGCCCTGCTCTCCACAGACTCAATGGGGAAGAATGGCAGAGACAGCAGAGCATAATGCAAAACACATGGCGGAGTGGGGGTGGGGGTCAGAAGCCACGGGTTCAAGTTCCGCTTCTTCCACCTAATGAGTTCTGTAACCTCAGAGAAGTCACTCTCTCTGAGCCTCATTTTCCCAATCTATAAGAAGGCAATTATAAAGAACATAAACTTTACAAGATTATGTGTGAATCAAATAAAATTATGTACAGCTAATGTGCAGGGAAAGCACTTGGCCAACTACAAATTACTTTATAAACACTGGTCATTATTATTAATACTAAATATCTGTCCATAGATTTAAAAATTAAAATCTGATTTAGTCAAACCAAAAAAAAAAAATCCCATTCCATTCTGGTCTACTCTCAGCTGTTCGGGGCCTTGCACACAACAGGTCTTCAATGAGTAAGTGCAGAGCTGATTTACCCTTCAAGTGTCATCCACCCCAATCCTGTTCCCTCCCTCACCCCCAACCCAAAGCCCAGCTGCATCAGCCCTGCCAGGACCAGGTGGAAGATAGGAAGCCCCTGTGAATGAATGTCTGCCTCCCTGGCTGCATTCCTTAGCTAAATATAAATGATTTGTCCAGTCCATTGTTTGAAATTATCCATAATACCTCGCCTCCCTTCCCCATTACTTACGATGACAAGCTGACTGCACATCTTTATAGCAGAACATACATACAAAACATTCTCTGTGGCTATTTTTAGTAGAGAGAGGGAAGCTGCCGGGTATACAGGGATCAGAGCATGAGTCCTCAGTTTTCTCCACTAGTCCAGGAAAGCTTCCTGGAGGAGGAAATACCTGAGGCACCTCAGAGAAGGACACAGCTGCAGGTCCGAAGGACACCCTCATATAATGAGTTTGCTTCTCTGAACCCAAGGGAAGTGAGCTGCCGCCCTCTTATCCCCATTTTTGGGATGGGAAGACACAAGCTGGTTGACACAACCCAGGGGATCCCACATTATCCCAATGCTGCAGGTTGGCCCAGACAGTACAGGCATTCGGAGAGGAGTTAAGGAAGGGGTCAGGATCTTTTTCAAAAAGAGGACATCAAAGATTCCAGTTCCGAGATACCTTAAGTACAAATTCTGCTCACATAACAAGCCAGTTTCTTGTTTGGACTTTTTTTTTTTCTAACCACAAGAAAGTTTTTTAAAGTCCCAAACTTGGATGCACAGATGGACTACATCTTGGAACTCGGAGTGTGCCAAAGCCCTGTCACTGTGAGTGCCGATCTGCCAGCGGTGGACCAAGGAGTGGTCAGGGATGTCCGGGGGGCCGCAGGCAGCATCCCAGTCCTGCCCGAGCCCCCCCCCGCCCTCCCTGGGGGCGCTCTAGGGACTAGCCCAAGCCAGTCCACTGGGCCACACAGTCAGAAAGCCTTGACAGCTCTGAGGCTCTCCCCTTCTGCTGCATCCTACAGCCCTCCCATCCCTTCACTTGGGATTCCGCTGTCCGCTCTCCCGCAGCCCCTTTCCCAAAGGGTCTTCCTCCGAGCCTCTCCCCCTGCAGACCGCTCTTCGCTCTGTTACGGGGCACACACACCCCCTTCCCCAGCTGCTTCCCGCATCCTCACAGGGCGCCTACCCCATCCCTCCCTCTCAGCTCGCCCACAGCCGCCCTCCCGTCACCCCTCCCCGGGGCGCCCCCGAGCTGCTCCCCAAGACCGGGACCGGGGCGTAGGCTGGCCCGGCCCGCCCACAGCCGGCCCGAGCGCCACAAGGTCTCGCGCTCCCGGGTCCCCAGCCCACCCCCGGCCGCACTCACCGCGCTCGGGGAACGTGGGGTCCCGCCTCGTGCCCGCTCCCGCACCGCCGGCACCGCCACCGCCGCCACCGCCGCCGCCGCCAGCGGAAACGGGGGGCGGGGCCGGGGAACTCGCGGCGGGGGGCGGGGCCTGCCCGGGAATGGCGAGGCCGCGGGGCGGGGCCACCCGCGGGGCGGGGCCGAGGGGGCCAAGGCCCGAGAGCCAGCCGAGGGGGTTGCTCGGAGCCCCGGGAGGGAGCGGGAGCGGGAGCGGGCCCTGCGGGGTCGGGGCC